AACCAAAATCTTATAAATTGTTCATGAGTGTTTTAAGCAGTTCAAAAAACTCGTAGATCGTGTTTTATCAGGTATAAAAGCACTCAGCTACGCCTCATGCTTTTATACCTGATAAAACACTCCTACTCGTTTATTAAACAGTACATATATATGTGTGTATATATGTATATGTGTGTGTGTGTATACATATATATATATATATTCATTTATATTTATTTATTTATAAGTAATACCATGACTTCTTCGGGATATTTGGGATTAAATGTTCCCRAAACCGAGGGAATTTTAGTGGAAGTCCCTCGGCCACGGGACTCCCATTAAACTTCCCTTGGCTTCGGGAACATTCAATCCCTAATATCCCAAAGTAGTCATGCTATTACTTTGTAATACCATAATTACAGAGGAAGTAAACTTTAAACTGGACTATTCTTCTTGGAATACTCATTTAGTAGCAAAAAGGTAAAAGTCACTGGTGCATTATGTCCCATGAGAAACATCKATTTAAATAGTTCTTTTGTTTGTCTTCTTGCACGGATTTGTGTGTGYATACATACTGAATGAGTCACTGTTAGAAACTCATTTAGGTTCGAAGTGAAATGGCATCCAAGGATCGATTCTCCTTTCAGACTAATCAAGAAGTAGAAACTTTAAGGGAGCCTACAGTTCCAAAGAACAAAAAAAAACACACTTCATGGATATGGTATTACTTATAATTACACTCRTGCATTTTTGCTCAATAAAAAAATGTTTCCAGCAAAAAAAGTTTTTGAATTTCATATTTTCACTTTTCGTGAAAATTTACCTCTATCTTGTATATTTGCTCAATAAAAACGTGTTGTGACAACTTAACAAGCSCATGCGCAAAGATTGTTCGAGCTACTGACTCTGACGCAAATTCAAATTCCTGTGTCCCGCATGTGTCAGCCTGTGATCAAATGCCCTTTGGCGAACTGGTGAATACTTGTTGCACTTTTCRAAGATTGGTCTTCCTGTGCCCTCCTTATGCTTGTTGACATTCTCAATTTAAGGATACCAAATATTTTGCTCGATTTAATATTTAAATAATACTCAATTTATCTAGTAAGATGAGTAATCGTTCTTTTTATTTTCCTTTTAACACCTAGTTATTTGCTATTTTGTTGAGTTTGGAAACGAATTCTGTGATGAATTAATTGTCTGACTTCGACTACCACTTAGATAGAATTAACTGAGTCAAGTATAGAGTATAATCGGAAGAAGATCTATTTGAAAACGCTTTCCCTGTTTTCAATTTCAAAGGCAAGCTGTGTAATTTATTCCAGGAATCATTGGACCTACGAGCTCAAAACTGAATATTATACAAGATAACCAGCCATTTATGATACAATCCGCATGATCAACATATTAAAGTGTTGCGTTATGCGTGTTGATTTACATTACTACCTATCTTGACCTTCAAGGGTCATGGCTCCTACATTAAATCTTGTTGCCTAAAGTTTTCAAATGAAACTATTTATTTACACTGTGAACTAAGCAAATATTTTATAGATATTCGTTTATAAATGCTATTTACTTTGTCTTCATCCCAGTCGGTAAATTAATGATTATTTATTGCAGCAAATTCTCGTTASACCTTCGCACATTTCACCATACCATCTGAGCATTGTTTCAGCTGTTTGTAATCTTGTAATGCATGGCGGTGAATCTACTTTTTATTCAGAACGGCTTTTTTAAATGAGAAAAATCCAATATTCCATTGGAATTGTTCTTTTTTCGTCTTTTGCTATTTTTTCTACGATCTACGCACATCTACATTCATTTGATTATTTTCTTAAGAAGTCACTTAGTAAATACAACTGTTGATCAGTAATATTAAAACTTCGCTGGATCGAGTTTATGAGATTTTATTGCTGAATACCGCCGTGACTGAGCTGCTTTAAATCAGATTCTTCTCGATTTCTAATTAAAATAGCTTTTTTCGATAGCCCGCTCGATCTACGAGTCTTCTGAAAAATTGTCATTAGTCATTRTGTATGCACTTGTTTTTAGACTGTCTTTTTGCTGGGATACCTGTGGTATACCAGCTATAAAATTCCTTTGTTTTTGTTTTTGCTTTTGTTTTTCTCCACGACAAAATGGCAAAGTTGTGCAATAGTTACCCAGGGGTCTTCAGGAACTTACCCAATAGACCTTTGCGGSCATCYGCTATGGGGTTTCCAACCAATTATCATGTACCAGATGTCAATCAATRTCACTATGTTGTCAAGTGATTATGAGAGGSCGGAGSTAACAGATCACGTGGCACARGTTTATGTCTACGCATGTTAGATACAAGAACATTGCTTCAGCTGTTTGTAATGTCCGACAATCAATCTACTTTTAATTCCCAACAGCTTATTTGGATGACAAAACTAGCTGAACTTTCTTCAAGATTCCATGACTCTCGTTTTGAATTCTAATGAAAAGTTCTTTTTTCGACGCATCCGGCTCTACCTACGAGTCTTCTGAGAGGTTTACAGTCATTTCGCCCACTGACCATTTCGCCCACGCCAATTCGCCCACRCATAAAATCATCGCTTCCATTGGAAATTACCAAAACAGAACTTCGACGATGAGACTTGTTAAAAAGAAACATAGCCTCTTGAAAGACATTTGTATGTGATTTTGAAGCATATTTGGAGCGATCATTTCACGATACGATCAGTGAAAGTGGAGATCTAAACGAGATCAAGGACAGCGTTCACTTAATAGCTACCATATAGAGTCCGAGTCCGTTTCTACCAACTTATGACTCGGATGACTTTATTTCCCTATACTCTAATCTATGAATCTTTGGGTAGCTTTATCATTCTTTATCATTTTTTAACTTGCCAAAGTTCGAGAAAAATACAAAATACCTTATGCGCGAAACATCGATCGACAAGCGACGCCATATTGTTTTCGTGTAATCAACAAGCTTCCTAGTCGTTTACTGACACTTTCCTTTCTTGAAATCCATTAGACTTTATTATTTGCACTAAAAAACTAAGACGAAATGATCTAGCGACTTTATCTGGAATAAATTTGAGGCCATTTAATATCTGATGTAAACGCCAAAAACTTAACGATTGAGTGGAAYAATCGAGCTCAGTTTACAGTGTTTCATAGGYCGGAGTCTTTTCGCTACCAATAAGTTTTTTAGTCTCCGAAGAGTAGTTTGTTGAAAACATTACAATATCTTTTTTCTTCATCGAAAAATCGAATGTTTAGGACATATTYATTGCTTCTGACTTGCCAAGGTTCGAGCTAGAAAAGCCAAAATACCTTTACGCATATTAAACATCGATCGACAAGCGATGCCATATTGTTTTCGTGTAATCAACAAGTTTCCTAGTYGTTTACTGACGCTTTCTTTACCTAGAATCCATTAGACTTTATTCTTTTCACTAATAAAGTTAAAGGAAAGATATGGTGCTTTGAAATGGGAGATGT